GAGCTTCAAAGCGCTGGCAAGTGGTGTATTAAGATTGTTCATGTAGACATAACCAGGCTTGGTATAATCGGACTCATAATGACATTCGCCTGTGGTCCAGACCTTAAACAGTAAGATATAGTCCCATACGCAGTAATTCTGAATCACCTAAATGGATCGCAAGAAGGAAGAGGGTAGATAAAAAATATTTCGCTGACGGTCGCTAACTGGCAATAATGAATGCACTTTTCAGAGACGGAAGATTACGAGACATTAAAACGGAGATAAATTATTCTAACAGGTCCGAAGGTAGCGCTTTAACACCTCTGTAAGGAGATCAAGGTCCATCAGAAACCATTGAGCTAACGCAGATAAATAGCGCTAAGCAGTGAACCACAGTAGACGGCAAACACTAGATAATTGCCCCGTTTAGTGAAATTGTAACTTAGAACATTTCGGTCAGGAGGAATTAAGCAGGTCAAGGATTACTAGGAAGGCAATTGTGTAATGGTGCGTTTGTTGCAACACTGTTATCCACTGTCAGCTTTTATAGAGATTGAAACAAATAAAGCTCGTTTTAAGGTATAAAGACAGGGTTTTGGACTTTCAAAACTAATAGTAAATATTATCACTAAATTGAAATCTAGAAGGAGCTATTTGTAATGCAGAAGAAATGCATAAATTCCAAAAGTAGCCCACCTGCTCAGTGAAGACCTTTTGAGTGAAGAGCTTGCGCGAAGCGGAGATATTACGTGCTAGACAAGGCGCATCTACGCCCAAGACTTCGGCAACCAGTTCGCGGATAGCACTCTGTTGATTGGTGTGAAACAACAAGGCCAGCAGGAGAAGGAGCTGAGAGTAAGAATGTGGTGCAGCACCACTGCTGGAAGGACGTAGGGCAGCGTGGAAGACGTCCTGACGGTTAAGCAAGCGATGCAGCCAGATTACGACATGCTCCTCACTCTCAACCGAAGAGTTGTCCGCAGAGGAGAAGGGGGCTGTGGTGGCACTGCCAATGAAAAAAATACCTCGGATATGAGGTGGCTGATGATATGTAATAGCCGGAAATAGCCATTCCAGTTTTACTCGTCCTTATAGGTAACTTTATTAT